AAAAAAAAAAAAGGAATTTGTTCATAGTTTTTTTTTTTAACTATAGTCTGCCCCTCCAGCGGTCTGAGGGACAGTGAGCTGGCCCCCTGTTTTAAAAGTTTGAGGACCTCTGCTAGGTCAACCCTTGGGCTTGCCGTTAAGTGATCATTTCATTTTAGTTTCCTTATTTGTGAATGAGGGTGTAAGACTGGATTAGTGGTTCTCAATCATGGTTGCATATTCAGGTCATTTTTGGGGACTCTTACAAATGCAGATACCCAACTACTATCTGCAGACATCCTGATTTAATGACAGGTGTCAACAGTGTCATGTGACAATATTTAAATCTCAGAACGAGGGCTTAGATTCAAATTTTGACTCCAAAATTCCAGACACCTGTATTTGTTTTTTGTTTTGTTTTTTTGTTTTGTTTTTGAGTGGGAATCTCACTTTGTTGCCCAGACTGGAGTGCAGTGGCCGCTCCCGGCCACCACAGCCTCGACCTGCTGGGCTCCGGCAATCCTTCCGCCTCAGCCTTCCGAGTAGCTGGAACTACAGGTGCGCATTACCACACCCGGCTGATTTTTTGATTTATTGTGGACATTTTAAATTATACCCCACTAGTTTTCATCACTTTTCATCTTCTTTAGAGTTATCTGTGTGTATGTCTTGTCCACCCTATTGAGTCGTTGTGCTCCTGGGATCAGGCTGTTTGTCCACCTCATCTTTTCAAACTCCACATAGTCAAGGCCTGGCCTACATAAGGGATATAAAATTTCTGAATGAATTCATGTTTTATTGCTTCATTTAACCAACAGATTAGTCAATTAATCAATATGTTGTTTATTAAACACTTACTATGGGTCTGGGAACTATAACGGTACCAGTATGGCACCTCCAGGGGTACAAGTTTCAGTGGGAGGAGACACCTGCATTTTACACAGAGTATTCAGCTCTAAGAAGATTTCTTTGCATCTACCTCTATTCTTGAAACAAATATGGTCACACTTCAAATGTACATAGAAAGTGCATAAAAGCTCCAGTGAGCTATTCCAGATATTCCAGAATAAAAAGGGCACTGGTTCTTGATTCCATTCTCCTCTGCCTCTCATCTTCCCCATCCTCCCACTCAGTACCTACCTTGAACTAGTCTTGTTGGTTCCCCCAGTCATGCTGCTGGAAGCCAAACTGCAGCCAAGATTGAGTAGCTGGCAAGGCCTGGCTGCCTCCAGGAAACTCCTGCAGAGAACAAAGCCAAAGCTGATGACATATAAATCTTGTTAGCCAGTCTGCACCACGGTTTCAAGGCATCCCCGCTGGGCAAATTCACCCCCTGCAGGGTAATTTTGAGTCACCCACTGAGGAGACTCAATCTGGGCTCTCATTGCTGGTTAAAAAGTCCCACTCTCTTTTGTTCATCCTTAACTTTTTGTTTTTACTCTCTTTGACTCTGATACCCACCCCATCACTGGCTCTTGAAGAAGTCATCATTTAGCCTGGCTGAACCTAGCACTTACCTGGAGAAGAGTTTTCCATTGGCGGCCAGCAGTGTGGCTGGATGAGAAACAGAGGGGCAAAGAACAAGTCAGAAGGGAAAATGAACATCATTTTCTTTTTTGTAAGTTAAGAGCTGCTCCTCCGAACTTAAAATTCATCCCTCTCTGTCTCCCTCTGCCAAGACCACAGGCTAGCTGAATGCCATGAATTCTGTTCGTAGTAGGGACTCAAGATCACCAAGCACAGTTCTGGAATAGGAACAGGTATGGGAGAAAACAGTTGGCCTTGAGCCTCTGAGCTTTTGACTCATGACTGATGTCTGGGCAAGAGCCACTCTGTCCTGAAGAGGACAGAGTCATTCCACTCTCTAGGTTGGTGCTCCTGCCCTACCAAATGAGTCTTTACAGGTTCCAGGGGACATCAGTAGGTTTCTGTGTCTCCATCTTTTAGCCAAGCCCATATCCTCCTTTCTTTTTTTTTTCTCTGCCACCATTTATCCTCCTTTCATACTCAATTCTCTTGGGCTTTCGATGTAGAAAACAGTCTCAAAGATGTCTGGGCAGCAAATGTTGTGGTGATTTAATATGACAGGGACAAAGGGTCATTTTAAATGATGGACCGGTTGGAGTCATGATAGACTTATGAGGAAGTATTTCTGGGCATGTGGGGCTTTCTGTGTTTTATATTAGATCAAAATGAGACTCCCCTTTCCCTATAGATAAGAATGCCCAAGGCGAGCCGGGCTCGGTGGCTCAGCCTGTAATCCCGCGCCTTTGGGAGGCTGAGGTGAGTGGATTGCCTGAGCCCACGGGTTCGAGACCCGCCTGGGCAACTTGGTGAGACCTCATCTCTACAATAAATCAAAAAATCAGCTGGGAGTGGTAGCGCGTGCCTGTAATTCCGGCTACTTGGAAGGCTGAGGCGGAAGGATCACCGGAGCCCAGCAGGTCGAGGCTGCGGTGGCCGGGAGCGGCCACTGCATTCCAGTCTGGGCGACAGAGTGAGACTCCAACTCAAAAAAAAAAAAAGAATGCCCAAGGGTGGGCTGTTTTTTTCTGAAGTTTTCCTCTTCCATCCTATCCTTAATTTACCCAATGTATAGCTTCTTCCCTCATCCCAGCCTCAGAGAACTGTGCCACTTACCCTCTGCTCCGAGAGTCAAATCATCTTCAAAGCTGGAACACCCTATCAGACAATTAGGCAAAGATCACAGGAAATCAGACTGGAACATACACACATGCACACACCTGCATACATGAATATCTACACTTGCACTTAGACTTATATAACCATACAAAAATACTAGATATGCACATGTTGGAAAACTCCACATATATGACCTCAGAAATCACATTCATGTTTTGATTCAGAAAGAATTACATCTACACTCACCTATAACTTGCTCCCTGTATCCCATAGTCATGTACACAACCTCCTGCCAAATAGTAAACACCCTCACCCATAAACACACACATAAACACTGACATTTTATTAAGTTCTTTTCCCATAGAAGTGGTTGTTAGCTAAGCAACCGCCAACAGATGATAGGTTTGAATATTTGTGAGCCTGTGAGCTCTGAGTCAGCATTTTTTTCTGGAGCCTTGTGATGACTAAAGGGTGTTTTGCATACAGTCTAAAAACACACAGGTACTCTTATGCATACACACATATACACACACATACACACCACACACACACACACACACACACACACACACCACACATACATACACACAGCTATGTCATTGTCCAGGTAGAACAATAGAAGAACAGAGACTATATTCACCATTGTAGATCGACTGTCCTGCTTCCTCAGAAAGTCCTTCTTCAGAGTATCTAAAACCAAAAACAGCCTTACAAGTTGAAGCCCATTATATTCTCCAAGGGGTTTTTCATTAACAATCTCCCACCTGTTCATATTGTTTTCCAATGAGAGCCAGTAGTATTTAATTTGCTTTTATGTTGGTGAAAACTAAGAGTGGTTACTTGACCAAAAAATTCATAGAGGTCGGCAGGGGGAGCTGGGACTGGAATGCACTGTATTTTAGATAGGGTTGCCTTCAGACCCTGGCTACATGGTCTAAAGTCAGCTTAGCAATTGCTATGGTTTGAATATTTGATCCCTCCAAATCTTATGTTGAAATGTGATCCCCCATGTTGGAGGTGGGGCCTACTGGGAGGTATCAGATTCCTCATGAATGACTTGGTGTCATCCTCAAAATAATGAGTGAGTTCTTGCTCTGTTAGTTCCTATGAGAGCTGGTTATTTAAAAGAGCTTGGCACTTTCTTCCCTTCTCTTCCTTGCTTCTTCTCTTGCCATGTGATCTCCACATATCATGTGATCTCTGCCATCCACCGTGAGTAGAAGCAGCCTGAGGCCTTCACCAGAAGCAGAAGCAGGTGCCAAGCTTCTTGTGCAGTCCATAGAACTATAAGCCAAATAAACCTCCTTTCTTATAAATTCCTCGGTCTCAGTACTCCCTTATAGCAACACAAATTGACTGAGACAGCAATAATTCTTCAGTCTTTAAGTAAAACACAAAAGAAATAATATAGACCAAGCGTGGTGGCTCAAGTCTGCAATACCAGCACTTCGGGAGGCCAAGGTAAGAGGATTATCTGAGTCCAGGGGTTCAAGACCAGCCTGGGCAACTTGGTGAGACCTCATCTCTACAATTAAAAAAAAAATAGCCAGGCTTGTTAGCACGTGCCTGTAGTTCTGGCTACTTGGAAGGCTGAGGTGGAAGGATTGTCTGAGCCTGGCAGGTTGACACTGGGTTGGCTGTGAGCATGCCACTGCACTCCTGCCTAGGCAATGGAATGAGACTCTGACTCAAAAAATAAAAATAATATAGAAGCAAAACTGGAGAAATATATCTAAAGAAGCAGGAATTTTGGGGTCATAATTTTCAAATTAAATACAAACATCTAGGTTTTCTGAAAATTTTAGGAGGCCACCTTATCTACCCTCACTCTTTCTTGTCTCTGAACCATAATCTTACTGAATATCATGTCTTTCAGGAAGCAGCAGAAGTTGCATTCTGGTTAGAGATATTTTTACATTTTGAGATACGGTCTTATCAAACATTTGCCATCTCCAAGAGAAGAACAAACAAAAATCAGCAGAAATACTAGTGAGAAACAATTCAGTTTTTTAAACAAGGAAGAAATTCTCCCTGTCCAAAACTGGTGAGTAAAATAGTCTGTGAAAAAGCTTTGAACTGGGTCCAGTACACCTAGTTTTCAATTCTGGCTCAAGTATTACGTAAGGGGATTTGGATCCTTAGATATCATCATCAGCTAAGTCCACTTCAGGTACCAATGTGTTGCAAGTTTTGTAGAGTCTGCTTTCCTAAATGTTTGTAAATGGAAGTTGCACATGACACTTTATATGTAATCCCGAGTGGAGGCTGAAGAGGAGAAGCGTTGGTTAAGTGAGGTAGCATAAAACCTGGGCTATATCCATTGCTACTGATCCTAAAGAATTTCTTTCTTTTCAGTCTCCAGCCATTCAGATAACTTCAGGCTGGTGGAGTATGACTTTACAGAATGTTTAACAATGGGAATGGGCTTACTTCTTGCACATCTGTAGGTCAAGTTGTGCTTGCATTTTACAAAATAAATAATTGCACATAGAGAATCTTTTGCTGGTGTTTTCCTTTCAGTTGCAAAATAAGTAAATAAATAAAATAACAACAACCCAACAACAGCAACCAAAAGAAATCCCATATTTTCCAAAATCTGAATTCTTATATGTCTTCCTGAACAAAACTGTACATCAAGGTTTACTGTAAGTGAAATGACACTCAAGCTAATTACAAATAGATAACTCTAATCACACAACTAGAACTATAAATATATATTATGTTCCAATGTATAATTACATAAATGTATATTATAATACTATAAACATATGTGTTAATATATATTAAAATGTTAGTAGAAACTGTTTACTATTACTACTTAAAACACTATGATACCAAATATGATCAACTACTAGAATATTGTAATTTATGATTGCATTTAATGTTTGTGTTGTAGTTACACAGTAATGCAACTACTAAGACTTACTATTACTAGAAGTACAATTAAAACACACTACTATTCCATTTCTAGGTTGTACCCAATAAAAATGCCTCCATGTGCTCCCCCAAAGAGATACTAGTCATGGTAACCCAGAAGAGGAAGCCTCCAGATCCCTATTTATTTTAGAATGAAAGACAACATGATAATGATACAATATAATCTACATGACAATAAAAAGAATGACCTACCACTGCATACAAATACATAGACAAACATCACAAACATAATGCTCAGCAAAAGAAACACACATAAAACATATTGCATGATTTGATTTATATAAAGTACAAAAAAATCTCAACGTTTACAAGGCAGGGTATTTTTTACCCATGGAGGCAGGATATTGTATGGAAGGAAAGGGGACTTTTGGAGTGCTGGTAATGTTCTGCTTCAGGCTTTGTGGGTGTATCCCTTTTTGACTATTAATCAAGCTATGTATTTAATACTCATTTATTTTTCAGTAAGTATATTATACTTCAGTGCAATTTATATTAAAAAGAAAAATGCTGTTGATGTGTATGCTATGCTTTAATAAAATTTACATTAAAAATGTCACTAATAAGCTGGGCTCGGTGGCTCAGCCTGTAATCCCATGCCTTTGGGAGGCTGAGGTGAGTGGATTGCCTGAGCCTGCGGGTTCGAGACCTGCCTGGGCAGCGAGACCTCATCTCTACAATAAATCAAAAAATCGGCTGGGCGTGGTAGCGCATGCCTGTAATTCCAGCTACTTGGAAGGCTGAGGCGGAAGGATCGCCGGAGCCCAGCAGGCGAGGCTGCGGTGGCCGGGAGCAGCCACTGCACTCCAGTCTGGGTGACAGAGTGAGACGCCAACTCAAAAAAAAAAAAAAAAAAAAGTCACTAATAGAATTCCTGGTTTCTCCAAAGCAAAACTCACTTTCATTCATTAGATACAAGTTATCGTTGAGGTTTACCCTACATTTCTCACATGTATCTATTCTCCTTATGAAGACCAGCCGAGGTTGAGCCTTGGGCAGATGTGGGTTTTCCTCAGCAGTATGGACATGGGCCTGGATCTACCTTCTCACTGAGCATGATGACTTGAGACTTCATGGCCATAACTCTAATCCCAAGCCTTTTATGGGGTATTACATGGGCCATAGGATCAATGACTAGGAACTGGATCTGCTCCCTCTTTCCCAAACTTGCACTGAAAGGTCCCTTAGCATCATTTCAAGTCTGAAATAAAAGTACAAAGGTATTGCTCCTTCTGTATACTTTGTTCATAAACAAATAGTAGGAGGGAGGGTTGGATTGAGAGAAGATGCATGTGGCTATTTTTAGATTCTTCTGGCAGTTTCCATAGATGCCTGCCTGCAGAGATTTAAGCTGAAGCCCACACAGATGATTTTTGGGCTCCCAATCCCACTTCTGGTGATTCATGAGCAACACATTTATGTCCCAGAAAATCTTAAGAGCTTTAGAGGAGAAAGAAAAATGGACGGGAACAATTTGCAAAGACATGCATGGTCTAATCCTGTAGCAGAATGATCAGTCCTTTGATTCAACTGCATGGAGATACGTCGACACTAAATCGACCAAACTATTGGTGGAGAGTTTGTCAGAAAACAAAACCCTCTAGTTACTAATGGGTGTTTGGGATTGGAAAGAAAAATGGAAACTATGTGGTCCTAAAATAAAAATCGGAAAGTGCCTCCCAAGGCACCTGGCAACAGAGTGCACAGACAACCAGGGAATGCATGTTTCTTGCTCATCCTCTTTCCTCTGGGGTCTTGGCAGCCTAAGCCTCAAAGACTGTGGGAACTCAGCGTGTCATGCTCAGAATGTGTTCTTCCTCCATCTTCTTCACTGTCTGTTCTCAAAGGTCAAGTGTATTCGTACTATCACCAAGCATCATCATCATCATCCTTTATTTTTTCTGGCTTTTCCATATAACTAAAAAGTATTACAGGACATATTTACTAGAGAAAATTAGAAAATAGAGAAAATTGGAAATCTTTTCTGAATCTAACAATTCCCTTTACAAAGACAGAAGCAAGTATATTAATAAACTTATGGTCTTTTTGAAGTTTAAATGTTTGATACTTTTTCAAAACACAAGTAAGTAAAGAAAATGCAACAAATACCCTCACATGTGTCACTCTATTTTCACACATGTAAACATTTTGTCATACTTGCCTCAGAAAAAGTGAAATATTAAGCAATATATAATGTTAAATAAAAAAGAAATAAAGTATTAAAGATATAACTGAAGTCTTATTTTACTCCCATTCTTTGCTTCGCTTTTCCTTCTGAGATAATCACTATCCAATAGTTGGTGTGTATCATTTCTGGGTATGCTTTTTCTGACAAATAAAAATATGTAGATAGATATTGATATAGATATATAGATAGACTAATTTTGTGAAATTATAAGGAGGCATAAACTTCTCCTCTATAAACCTTACCACTCACACACTATTACAGATCATAAAGCTTATACACATTTCTCATCTCCCTGAAACCTCACAAGAAACTTTGAAACTTTTTTATTCTAGTCACTTCCCTCAAAGATCAGGCATCTTCAGTGGAGATAATTTAAGTTATTTTCTTATGACCGGTTGCATATTTAGTAGCACAAGAATTAGGTTCAAATCTTGGAGACTTTTTGCTCCCCAGACCACCTTTTCACTATAAGTTTTGGTTCAGGGATTATCTTTGTAGAGCATGAGTGGAGAAATGTGACTTCTAGAGCTTACAATCTTGTATTTCTGTGAATGCATTCTTTCCAATTAGAGTATAGTATGTTTGAAGTCAAGGAACATATTTTAAATGACTTGGCATCCCTCTAAGTTATTGAGATAATCAGACAATGAATAATTGCTGACATAAGTTGATAAGACTCAAGGGTAGTTAAGGAGATAAAGACATTTACTGAGCTGGCGGTTTCCCCTGTACATATCAGGTAAGGCATTTTAAACCTTAGGACTGCTCTCACCAAAATCTGCATATATTTCTATTACCACCCTCCCTTTTCTTCCTATATTTTGAGGATCCCCTAATTGACTTTGAAGTCAACAAATTGTGAATAAGACTAGGGCATTATCTTTTGTAAACAGAAACAAACACAAAATAAATCCTTCCTGGCATTCTCTTCCTGGACAGAGTTGAAGTAAACAACCTTGGATTATTCAGTGCTATTTACATCCTACCAAATAAGCAAAAATTGGTTTATTTATGTCAGTTAACAGGTGAGTTTAGATGAAAGGCTACATAAGGCTTGAGACATTCCTGGAGGGAAAATAAGGAGCAGGCAGGAGTTATACTTTCTGAGAATTCATTATTATACAAAAGATTAAATAGGTCACAGAAGCCTCTTTGTGTCTGAGTAGTCTGAGCCTAAAATGGCATAGGCTGATAGGGCGCAGGGTTCTCACAATTTAAAGCGTATCTCACAAATTAAAGAGATGATACATTGCCTTGAAGTGCCTGCTATAATTCTTCCTTGCTTTGAATGACTGTTGTATACTCCTAGCCCCTCGCCTGTGTTCTGCAGTAGAAATCAACAACACAGTGATGAATTGCTCTTCGGTAAGATGATCAGGCTGTAAGTCCTCTGCTTTTGTCACATAATGTAAAAGTAAGACTCCAATCTAAAGGGCAAAGCCATGGAGTCAGGGTCTGGAACTCAGCCTTACCCATTCCTTGTAGATGCAGACTTCCATTTATTCTTAGCTTTAGACCAGATCCAGCTTTCTTCCCAGCCCTCCAGCCTAACTTCGTCTTTCCCAGAGTTGCACTTTACCGCTATGACTACCAGCCCACCCCAGCCTCCCACAATAAACACCCGCCACCAGCTCGACCTCACCTCTAACCTTTAGGCCCAATTCAAGCCCATTTCCCTGCCTGAGTTCCCAGGAGCTTTGTCTGCTAGCAGTCCAACCATTAGCCACATCCCACACCATCGCCTGTCCGGCACTTACCCACAGTCCTGCAGCCAGTCTTCAATCTTATTGATTGGGTTTGCTAGAAAAGTCAGACACCATATCACTGTGAGAACTGAACAAAACCAGACCTCCTCTCTGCAACTAACCCCATTCCACAAGTTTATTCTTACATAAGACACATCATGAATCTGTTTTTTTCCTCAGAAAGCTTTTCTTTAAGATATGAGAGGATTATATTTATATATAAAAATAGTGGATATGTCTTCTCCCTCTGCCTCCCTTCCTCCCAGAAACCTGGAAAGTACCCAAGATGTCAGGCCCACGACTCTCTTCTGGGGACAGGGATGGATCTCTCTCATTAAAAAAGACACACACACACACACACACACACACACACACACACACACACACACACACAAAATCTTGTGTCTGTGCTTTCTGTGTCCTACCAAATAATCAAGCATGGGTTTAATTCTATCAGAATGTTTGATTTACTTTTATTCAGTAGTCTAATTTAAATCTCAAAGAAGCTCTGAGAAGGGTGTAGGAAAGATACTTTTCCTTCAATGGGACAAGTATGTCTTCAGTAGGTGAGTGACTCCTCAAAGGTAACACAGCTTGCTAGCGACAGCATTATGGCCATAGTCCTAGTCCCAGGTCTTTTATGGGTTATTGCATAGGCCATAAAATCAATGACTAGGTACTAAGACTAGGCATCCAGTTTGAGTGTCGTCTTGTTATACAAAGTAGAAATACCCACAGCATTCATAGAGAGCTCCTAGCCTTGGGTTCTTACAGAAGTTTCTCAGGATAATGCAAAAATGTACCCCTTTCCCCCCCAATCTTATTATGCCTGCCTCTTTCTCACATCATTCTTATCTTATGCTATTTCCATCTCTTCCCCTAAACTCAGTTAAACCAGTAAAAACAAGCCTTGCTGAGGGCCTAGAGTAAGGGATGGACTCACTGTCCACACTCTGCATACCCGTGCCTGCTGGCCCATTCTACTACAAGACCACACAGATGTTTGTTTGTTGTTTAACTATCTCTTACCTTCTTGGAAAACATCATCCAGGCCAGAAGGCTCAGGATCAGGGACGCTCTGCAATGCGGCTGCAGCCTCCTCTTCAAGGACCTGGGTCTGCCAGTTACGGCTCTGACGCAGCCAGGCCCGCCGTTTCTCCCAGGACGTGGGGCTCAGCACAGAGGCCTCCATGGCCTGGCTCAGACTTCAGGGCCCCCCTCCACAGAAATACTGTCCTGAGAGTTGAAACATAGTGATACTCCCTCATCCTTTACTCAGAAACCACCCCATCTCAGGGGTGCCCCCCCATCTTCCCGTCTCTGCACAAAGGAGCCTGACTTGTCTGCCCCTTCAGGAGCAGTGAGGAGATGCCTAGCTCATCTTCTGTCTCCCCTGCGAAAGAAGAACGTTCTGAAAAACCTGAATATCAGGGCAAATCTTTCAAATTAGTAAGTATGAAAACTTCACACATCACATGATATAGGGACATTGCGAAAGCTCTTCTGACTTGAAGATTCCCTACCATGAAGAACATGGTAGCCGACATGCTATACTAAATAACATTTTTCTTTAATCCCAAAGAATTTTGTCTCCCAGAATCTTTTGTTACAATGAAATTATCTTTAAATTTACAATGTATAAAGCTGACTTTATTTTATTCTCACCAAGGTATATGAAAAAGTTTAGGATCTCAAAGATTTAATAGCATTTCTAAGATCCCACAACCAGGATGTCACTCTAAATACAGGGATTCTGGGTTTTCTTTGTTTGTTTTTTTGTCTTGACATGTTCTGTTTCTTGTTTCGTAAATTCATGTAGAGTTTCTATCAGAAAAAAAATCATATGATAAAAACAAGGAGACACATCCTTAACCAATGAGCAGCCAGCATCTTATAGGATAATCACTTTCTAATCTATCAGCTAATGTTTCCACATAACTATGAAGCAACTCCTCAGCTCATCAATGCAACTACTGATTCTATAGATTTATATTTCACTTAATACTACCTAAACAACACCTCTGTATTTTTCCAAAAGATACACAGTGATGGCACTAGGCATGTATTCAAAGAGGAGCAATGGGGGAGAGCATTCAGTTGTCCAGGTAGAGTTTAAGATGACTTGAGGCTAATGTATATTCATTGGCCCTTTCTGTGTCCTGCTGCCTGTTCTCTGCCAACCACACTAGCATCCTAGCATACTGAGTAAGTAGGAGTGAGCTATGACTCTCACTGCCTTATCCCTCTATTTCCTCCAGCTGCCATAAATGACTTCACCTTCAGAGCTACACTTTAAAAACAATTTTTTTTAAAAGTCAGAGTCTCTGTCACCCATCCTGGAGTGCAGTGGCATAATTACGGCTACTGCAGTCTCAACCTGCTGGTCTCAGGCAATCCCTCTGCTTCAATCTTTCAAGTAGCTGGGACTACAAGTGTGCCACCACACCTGTCTAAATTTTTACTTATTGTAGTCTCACCATGTTGCCCAGGCTGGTCTCAAATTCCTGGACTCAGGTAATCCTCTTGCCTCGGCCTCCCACAGTGCTGGGATTACAGGCATGAGCCACCACGCCTGGCTCAGAGCTACACTTTTAACTGTTGGAATAGGGAAAATAAAAAGAAAGAAGAAGAAGAAGAATGCCAGTTTCCAGAGACTTCTGTTCTTTCAACACTTACAACCATTAGTAAGGCATTCAACGATTTAGGCACTAAAATAGCTATTTTTAAAAAGAACACTCTGAAAGTAAAATGCATTCCTAGGGCAATAAAATTGTTTTAGATGCCTTTGCTTGCTACAGAGAAAAACATATCCAGAGAAAAATAATACAAAATTTCTGTTGTCTGATCCAAATTCTTGTGTTTCAAGTCTAGTTCATGACATATTTTTCTTCCAGTAGTTGGCACTATGAGACTTTGCTGGCTAGCCATGGGTACCTGGCCCTTTATCCACTGCCTGTGCCTTTTAGGAGAAGCTAAATCATCTTATTAAATTTGTGTCATTAAGAAGCCACAAAGACAGGTAGCAGGGATGACTTGCTGTCCTTTGGTTGAAGGTGTTGTGAGGTGATAAAGAGACAATGAAGCTGCCGCTACAAAGAACTTAAGAAAAGAGTGTAAAAAGCCTTAATTGGTTTGTTTACCTAGTCCTGGGCTCGAAAATATTTAATGGGTTTGTTCCAGTCAGTCCAGTGGAGAAAATGTCGAAGGCTAACTTGCCTGTTGTCTTTAATGCCCAAAGGAAATCGACCTCACCTAAATCCCTGGTAATCTTCAACTCACAAGAACAGTTTTAGTGGTTAGGAGAACACAAAAGGAAGGCAGGCAGGCAGAAGGGAAGGAAAGGAGAAAGGGAGAGAGGAAGGAAGGAAGGGAAGAAGGAAGGGAGGGAGGAATGGAGGAATATCTGAGGCTCACACTTTATTCTGCCACTAATGTTATTACCTTTATCAGGTCTCAGTTTGTCAGTGAGGACACTCTAGCCCTAAAATTGGATGCTTCTAGTCCTACAAACTTATGAACGGGCCATTTTAGAGCTGAATCCCCATAATGCCCAGCACAGTGCCAGAATCACATTAACTGAGATGGAAGAAGAGGTTTCAACATCCTGTGATATGAATCTATTTTACATTCTCCCACATCTTCAAAAATCTAGCACAGTCATATTGGCTAATTTCCTTTCCACCCCCTTAAAATGCTTACTTTGCTTTTGATCTCAGTTTTCTCATGTTCTCTCTACTTCCCACCTCACCCCCTCCACCCCTACTCTCACTTTTTGCCACACTCAACCTGCAAAGCCCAGCTCTTAACTAACTTCCTCCATGAAGCTACGCCTGGGTTCTATAGGTTACTTTGGTCACTTTCACTGAATTCCTTACCTGCTTGGTTTTTCCTTACTAGTTCTTATCACTAACACACTTTATATTTTACTTATTGACCTAATTGGTCGCTTACTCTTCTGATTAGAATATGAGCTCCAAGAGGATGGAGATCTTTCGGGTTGTTCACTGCTGTGTTTCTAATGTCTGAAACAGAATCCAATATGCTGTAATCACCTAATCAATACTTGTTCTCTAAATGAGTGAATGTTCAGTGGGTGCCTGTTCCTCATAGGAGCTCAATGCCTTACAGAGCCACCATAGACACATGCAGAGAGAGTAGCTTCAAAACTATAACAATGAGCTATAACTATGTGCTTATTAAACATGGAAAAATGCTTTGGGCTGAAAGCTAGACCAAAGGGAGAAGGTTATTCTAAGGTTTGTTTCTATCCCAGGAATTCCTATGATTGAGAACAAAAGTTATATTTCCTTGGTTATTCCTTGATTATTCTTGTCTCTATGTCCTATGTACAGAAGTTTTACTTGTAATGTAGATGCCTAATGGAAAATGTCCATGGAAACAGAATCTTTAATGCTTAAGAGTTCCAAAGGAAGGCTTCCAAATAAGTGGCTATTATAGTTATGGCAACAAAAAGACTAGACAGGCTAAGTGTTCACTGAGAATGACAGCCATTTTCTGGACAATTTGGGTGAGAATGTAATCATTTCCTTACTTGAAAAAAATCAATGATAATTTCAAATCTGAGAGTAAAGCTGCATGGTAGATCTAAGCTAATGTTCACAATTGTGGCACACTAAGCATAAAATTGGGAAACTGGATACATTAATTTTCCCCAATCTCTGCTGCACTTGGGTTGTAGAGACTGGTCCATGGGGTGGTATATGGAAATACTATAAGTCAGCCATATTAGGAGGCAAGAGAAATGGACGTGTCTGGCTAGTGGTAATAGGAAGAAGCTGTACTGCTGAGAGATAAGAACCCGGGTATTTTTTGTGGAACTCTAAAGGAAGTAGCAAATGATTATCAGAAAAGCAACTTGGCAGTGAGTGTGTTAGAAAGAATTGAAAAATGGGTGCACACAGATGTCAAGATAGTAGCTGTGTAGATCTTGGGGCCCCTTGTAATAGAGAGAAGGGCATGGAGAGGTTTCTTCCAAGTGAGTCATACAAAGACACACACACCTAGAATATGATGGAGTTTGTTGCAGTGAAGAGAACAACAACTAGAAATCAGGAAACTTGGGCATTTCTCCAACTTTCGTGTCCAATTAATTCACTTCTGTCAAATCCATAAGGTTTTTTTATGTGGGCATCTGTGTAACCTCTAGAAGTGAATTTGTAGGGCTCAATGCTGTATACACTTACCTCCAGCACCAATGTGTATAAACTTGTTTTCCTACATCTTAGCTGAGTTTGAAACACGTAAAGGAATATAGGTACTAATTCGTCAAAGAAAATGTGTTTATATGGTTTACCTCATAAGAATTAGGAAATGGTCCAGAGGGTCTCCGGAGTTACTTCCCATATAAAAAATTCCCTTCCAAATAAACACTGTCTGACAGGGCTCCTGTATGAGCAGCTTTTACCAAAGAAGGAAGGCGGCGAGCCTAAACTGGGAGGTTCTGGGGGAACCCAAGTGAGAAGGAATCAGCCAGGGGCTGCTTGTTGACCCCCAGCGCAGCTTGAACTTTTCTGCTTCTGCTTTATTTTATGGCAGGCAATCCAACCGCAGCCCGTGGGCCACATACGGCCCAGGACAGTTAGTCATGCGGCCCCTCAAAATCTTTCAGCATCATGTGTTTTTTAGCACTTATTTTCTTTGTGACTCCATGCATAGTTCCATTTTTGAAGTTCACAATCATGCCTTATTCATGACATCACAGCACGTACATTTTGTGAGCAGCTGTTTTCAATTATGAAGCACGTGGAGAGCAAAATTCAAGCAAACATTTCTGACGAGCACCTTGAGAACTCACTGAGAATTGTGACTACTTCCATCGAACCAGACATTGACAGATTAATTTTATAAAAACAAGGTCAAATTTCCCACTAGTTTTATATTGCTCTCATTTTTCTAAACTTTATAATAAACAAATATAAAAAAGAAGTCTTATTATGTATATCCATTAACTATAGCATATAATGTATGTGCAGCCCAAGACAATTCCTCTTTACTTGATGTGACCCAAGAAAGCCAAAAGTTCACTCAAATCAATCTGGGGAAGTCAAAAGATTGGACACCCCTGTTTTACAGTGTCACCCACCTTCCTTTCTACCTACACAAATTCCATTCACCCTTTTAAAGCCTACTCAAGTTATCTCCTTTTCCTGACCCACTTCTAGCAGCTGGCAAATGTGCCTGTACCGTACGCAACAAGAGAGTAAGTAGCTACTACT